CAGCCTATATAGATGTAAAGTGCATTTTAAAAGTATTGTTCAATGCATTTGTCATATGGCCAGTATGGTGGGCCTAAGTGAAAATTGTATCTTATTATGTATATGAGGGTATTAATTTATTGGTTAGCTATAGTATCTTGTGTATCAATTTAAGTAGTGCAAAATTGTGAATATATATTCTTGTTTTGCAAGAATTAAGCTTAATATTACAATGAATCATGGCATAGGGGTAGGAAAGGAGGGCTAGGGGGGATGAAGCCCCCCCACCAACTTTTCAGCAAGAGGGGCTTATCCCTCCAATGTTCACATACTTTTTAATGTTGAGCCCCCCAACTTTCGAATCATTCCTACACTTATGTATGGGACACTATATGTTGAATCACAATAACTATTTTGTATTCTTCACTCTTGTTTGTACGCATAGTATAATGTATTAGTTGTTGGTTACCTTGTGGCCCGTCAGTTTCATCATCAACAGCAAATTTTTTTGGGGGACATTTTTTTGCTATTAAAAAATTGCATGTATAATAATAATCCATGATTGTAATATGTATATGTTTTAATTTAGTATAGAAAGTAAATTGTACATACTTTTATTGACTCCAGATGTTTGTCTGCTTTGATCTAAAAAAATAAAATTAATTAGTAAAAACAGCAGCTAAATGAGTAAATATAAATGATATAATATTCATTTACATTTTATAGTTTTATAATTGGTTATTGCTGTTACAGGATTATCAGTGATGGGTTGCCTGTATCTACTGAGGGAGTGACAATGATAAACTTTATAGGATATCATTTTACTTTAGTAGATAATGCTTTTTCCATTTTTGGAGTCTATATAATGCATATGCATAGCAAAAGTGAATTTAGATTTATATTTTGTGTATTGTGATTTCAATATTAATAAAAAACTCAAAATTTGAGTCGATTTCCGCTACATGTTTTTAATAATATTTCATGGTATGCATGTAGCAGGCTGTACATGCCTACGTGTACATTTAAATTTAATGTGCCTTACTTGAAATGCTCTTCCTCATTTTTGCTCCATAGCCCTTTAATGTAGGATAGTCTACAGTGTCAGATTCAAAGACGTCACATATTTTGAGTACACATTCATTAGGGTTGTCACTGTCTCCTATCTTTTCTTTTAGCTTCTCAGCCACTTCATTCCCTCTTTGATCATTTGTTAAGCCTTGTCTTTTTACAGCACTAAGCTGACCATCTGCAATCAAACCCTTAGCATTAAGCTCTGCAGTGACAATGGTAAAAGGTGGCTCCCTCCCAAGTATTTTTGAAAGCTTTGTGAGTACTTTTCCAAACACATCTATTGCACTTTCACCTACAATAAAGAGGTAAAGGATTGACACAGTTCATATATTGGTCTACCTCCTTCAGCCATAACAGCCCTGAATTGAATTGCTTTTATCAGCAATATAGGGGTGGATCATGCATCACAGTCAGACCACAGTTACTCTACTATGAATATCATAAAACTATAATTTACTATAATAATGCTTTGTAGAATTTTGCACAATTTGATCATGAACTTGCAGCAAAATTGATTTCTGGTGAATATTTCCAACTATACAGTATGATTCCAACAAAAACATTGATACAATCAATAACTCAATGTTGTTTTCTCCACTTGCATATCCTTTTTTATATGCTCTATTTGCTCTCTACAGTTGGATCTGGTTAAAATATGGAGATTTTTAGAGACATTTATGAAACACCGCTCACTTAGTAATAATTTGTGTTATGGGTAGCTATATACAACATTTTTATTTAATCATGTTTGCAGTGGCTCAACCATTATCATCATGCATATCATGCAGCGCAGCTATCATGGTAGCCCCACCCATGCTTGCAAACTCCACCCATCTCCATTGCAAATAAATGAAATAATGTATTCCTTGCTCTCGCTTCTCTCTTCTCTCTCCTTACTACTGTTCCTCCCGTGGACTAATGGAGTGGAGGGACAGTCTAAGGAGAGCCTAGAAGAAGAGGAAGAGGATCTGGTACCCCTTGTAATATGGCCTGGAATGGGTAAAGACTTAAACGGTTTTATTTAAGAGTCTCAGGGTTGTTTATTTATCCCGGGTAGGTGATAGTTGTTGCTATGTTTTTGGTGCTGCTGGTTATAAAGGAGTCATAGAGAGGATGCTACCAGGACTGTATGTGAAGATAATATCGTTTGGACAGACTGCACAAGAAGTTAATGAGCCATAAACCAATTAAAGCTTTATGTTTGTATACATCTCTCTTCTCCTCTTCACCCTTCTCTCTCTCTCTCTAGGATTCATACAACAGTTTCTTTCTCAATTCTAATAAACAGGTTGAACTAGCTTGTGATTTACTATCATCAGATGAGATGTTAGCTAATGGTTTTAATGCAATGGGTTTCTCTCAGGGATCACAATTCCTGTAAGTTACTTTATGGCGGGTACTGTGTACATGTACATGAAGCCATAGCAATGTAACTATCATTTTCACTGTCATATTGGAAATTAAAATATGCTTCTATTAGCTGCAGCTACAATTAGCTACATGTAGATGTTTGAACAATGAAGTGTTAACTATGCAACCACCTCTTGATAGAAGGTCTTCTACCCAAACTGACAGATAAGCTTCACTGCTTCTATTAGGGCCCCAGGGATGTATTGGATGTATTAGCTATGTATTCACTAAAAATTATAGTGATATGCCAATTCTTCCTTTGCCAAATCTTTAAAAAATTTAGAGCTTTTCTGTTTGTTATTCCAATGATTCTGTTGATTATGTACCAGTATTATTATTATTAAAAATTGAATTTTATAATTTTTTTAATTTTTAAAGGAGGGCACTGATCCAGAGGTGTGGGCGTATCAAAGTATACAATCTAATATCAGTAGCAGGCCAGCATCAGGGAGTGTATGGGTTCCCATTCTGTCTAGGAGAGACCAGCTGGTTCTGTGATTTATTCAGACAGTTCCTAAGCATTGGAGTGTACCTCACCATATTTCAAGACAAGTGAGAGTGGATAATATAAGGACAATGTACAGTACATACAGTATAGCGGGAAATTTTGGAGGGAGTTAAATTTGGTAAATTGCTAAATTTTGGTGATTGGCGAATTTTAATTTGGCAAGTTTGTGGCCACGTGCCATTGAGCATGCGCATAATGGCTCAAAATGGTGGATTTTTATTTTGCGAATGGCTATCAAAGCGCCAAATTCACTAAATTTAACTACCTCCAAAATTTCCTTCTATACGGTATGCACGTACATGAATTATGCTAAATAAGTACAATATAAGTACAATAAATGAAATAATAAAGTATGGATTTTCTTTTTAGTATAGTCCAAGCTTCATATTGGCATGATCCTCATGATGAAGAAAGCTATCAATTGGATTCACTCTTTCTCTCTGATATCAATCAAGAAGTGGTATGGGATTGTACTTTACTAATAAAGTAGATTTTAAATTTATATTATTACACTTTTAGAATATTTTGGGTTTTATTATACCCAGTTTTAGTTGTTTTGATTCCTCTGTCATTAAGTTTTTATTTTTTGTTATCTTTTTTTATATTTTTGTAGGTCTTTAATCCAGCATATAAGGAGAGGCTTTCCAGTATCAGTAACTTTCTATTGATAAAGTTTGAGACTGACATGATGGTCCAGCCAAGAGAGACACAAGTAATGAATTATTCACCTCACTCAAACTTTCTACATAACATAAGTACATCAATATATATCAGAAAATGTAATAAAAATTGGAGTGATTTTGGAGCCATTTTTTAGAAAAAACCATGGGCTATTTTCAAAAATTGGCCAATTTTTAAATGTGCATAACTTCACAATTTTTTGTTGAAATCAGCTCAAACGTTATTTGTCCAGTACTTAGAAAAACCTTGCTATAATCCACTTTATACCTTTGATTTTTTTATATTTTATAGTGGTTTGGATTCTATAAACCTGGTCAAGCTGTAGAAACCTACTCATTATTTGAAAGCAGAATCTTCACTAAAGTAAAAGATCAATGACTATAACCTATTATCAATACATGTACATGTATAATGTACCTATCAATACTTATTATTATTACTATTATTCTTTTTATAGGATCTATTAGGATTACAATACCTCAATGGTTCAGGGCGTCTTCATTTCCTTAGCTCTCCAAACGGTCACACATTACTCACATACGAATGGCTAGACTCATACATTCTCCCATTCGTTAACACGACCTTCTCCAAATCTCACTTACCGGTCAACATAAGCCCACACTCTACATCTACTAGTACTTACAGCTCCATAAAATCAACCACTAATAGCAATAAAGTTATAACAAACGTGCAAAGACCAACTTCCATTCACGTCACTTCTGACGGCCATGTTTTTGTCTTGAGTCGTCACGACAATGCAATTCATCGATTTGACTCAAATGGGGAGCCATTAGGCCACTTAGGACCACTACCAAACAAGAGAGAACTCCGTGGCATAGCAGCTTATGATAATACCCTTTATGCAGTTGACGAAGAGAGTAATATACATGCATATGCCATGAACGATGGTCAATACACTGGTATCATATACAGGACTATGGGTGGTTCCAATTCCACTTCACTCCAATGCATTAGTATTGACAATGATGGACTTATATACATTAGTGAATCAAGAGAGTCTATACACGTTATATCAAGGGACGGTTCTTCATTGAAAAACCTTAGCAATATCGGGACTCACCCACATAAGATAGTATTTGACTCGGACGGTCATATACGATTCACTAATGAGAAGGATAAGAGTATTTATGTTCTATCAAAAACCGGTCGCTTATTACACAAATACCCAACCCACCTCTCTTATCCTAGCGGGCTCTTTGTTGATTCTAATGATAATATGATGGTCGCTGATAGGGAGGGCGGGGTTAGGGTTTTTAACGAGAAAGGTTTCCACATTCACGACATCGGAGGTTTTGAAGGCTGTGAGGACATGAAGGTCTCGGCTAGTGGGGCGGAGCTATGGGTCAGTGATACGAAAGCTGACAGGATTTACATGTTTAAATTATAGGATGCAATAGTACGTGTACACGTTTTATTATGAACTATGAGATTCAATTTTTAATTCTTTTATTTATTAAAATAATAATAATTTTTAAAGCTACAAGCTGCTTCTTTCTTGAGGCATAATATAGTATTTAAATGCAGCAATAGTATAAGTTATTTATACTATCGTTTCTTTGAATTTTGAAATCCAAATTTACAAAATACACTGCATTCTAGCCACAGTAGGTGTGGTTCGTTTACAATAATAATAAGAGGTGAGAAGGAGAATCATGTTTTACTGCTACAGCGGCAGCAGTAGCGACCCCAGTGACGACAATAATGATGACTCAGACTATACTACGGGTTATTATAAACCTAAGAAGAAGAGGAAAACCACAAAAAGTGAGAAAAGAGCTCATGATTTAGTGCTGTAGAGTAGTTTTTTATAATGAGTAATGATAGGTGTGTCTGTTTTTGTGTCACCTAAATGTATACTAATAAAAAACAATAATAAAATGGTGTATAATTAAGTCATTTAGCTTGTTTTTGTCTAAGAAATGAAGGCTCTATTGGCTAATCTATTGTTACAATTTACAAGTCATAATTTTAATGTTAACCCACACATAATTAATTTGCACCTCATTGATTGCATATTTTAAAGTATCTCTCATGTCATTAAATAATAATGTTTCCTGTACTATAAAAGTATGTAATCTAATCTTGTTACAATATACCCTTGCTATTTTTGTACACATGCAGAAGGTGGCAGAAAGCCAAAGACTGCAATGAGAGAGAATGATTCTTCTACTTCAGAGTCACCTCCTCAACTGCAAGAGCAGCAGGCAAGAGCCCCTCAATCAGCAACAGTCCCTCAGTTAGTAACAGCCCCTCAGTTAGTAACAGCCCCTCAGTTAGTAACAGTTCCTCAGTTGGTAATGCCTACCATTCAGGTATACTTGTATAGAATTAGTTTGCACTTTAATGTGATTATGTGTCATAGCTTTGTGATCCTGCTCAGCTACCTCTCCTTCAGTCCAGCATACAAAGCCAGGCTGTTCTAGCCATCCACAGAGCTCCTTCCATGAATCAGAACTCAGTGGTGCAGGGTCCCTGTGGGCTTCCACCTGAAATGACGATTATTAATTCTTGCGGCAAGCAAGGGGTTTTTGCAATAGCTCGCATAGAGAGCGGAGTAAGATATGGGCCGTATAAAGGACTAAAGATAGCAGAAGAAGATCTAATGGAAGAAACTAACAATTTTAATGCCATGTGGGAGGTATAGCAAGTAGCAATAGTAGCAATCATTATAGCAGTACTGTATATTTTACACTCTTGAATATACATGTGGTCTATTACCATTACCGTTACTGCTCTAGGTTAACTGTGGTGAGTCTACATATTATGTTGACGCACACGAAGCTGACAACTCTAGTTGGTTGAAATGTGTAAGATTTGCACGAAACAAGGAGGAACAGAATCTTGTTGCATTCCAGCATCGAAGGAACATTTATTATATGACAATAAAACCAATTCATCCAAGCAGTGAACTACTAGTGTGGTATGGTGATCAATACTTGCAAGAGATTAACACTGGAGGTGAATCAAAAACCTTGTATGTCCTTTCTTTCATGTTTAGTCCATTAATAGATAGTGCTGAGTCATTTGTATGCAAAGGCTGCTCGACTAGTTTTATCTCTTTTGACGTTTTTGAATTGCATCGCAAGACTTGTTCCTCTACTCCTTATTTTAGTTGTCGGAGATGCGAGAGAAAGTTTCCCAGCTTATTCCAGTACCATGTTCACATTCGAGACCACAGAGAGAGTCCATGCAGGAAACCAGAGAAATTCCAATGTAACATTTGCAATAAACTCTACACATCTCGGGTTGGTCTCAGAAACCATCAACAAAGAATGCACTCTGAGGAAAAACCAGAGAAATGCCCTCACTGTGATAAAAGGTTTGCCCAGAAGGGAGAACTGAGGCAGCACATGCAGATACATAATGAGAGACATTTAAAGTGTTGCTTCTGTGATCGAATGTTTGCATATCAGACTCTGCTTGATTGTCATTTGCGTTACAATCACACCGAGATCAAGAATTACCAATGCTACATTTGTGGGAACAGATACAAGACTGCAAATCACTGCAAGCTTCACATCACTCGTTCGCATGGAAGCATCCAAGCGGCGGAACAGTAACAATACGATTGCTTATTCATTATTATTGTTTATCCATTTTTGTTTGATAATTTTCTGCCCACGTGCTTTCACGTGTTGCATAATATCAATTGAAAAGGCGGGATTTTCATCAATGAATATTGTTACTGATAGGTGTCAATCTCATAAAGTGTTTAATTCTCCCATCATGGAGAAGGCCACAAGTGAGGCCAAAAAGCTTCTCCAAGCAACAGTGGATGGTCTAACTGTTGATCAGGTCCAAGGCATTAATGATGGGCTCAGATGCTACGAGGAGAGTTTGATGACCACAAAAGACAGGACAGCACTCCTTCAATACTGGGTGGCGGTCTCGAAAAGAAACGTGGGCTTCAGGGACTGGCTCACCATTCAGCTTCACTCCATAGACGGACCTCAGGTAGCTACTGCTTTTGAGCAGCTTACGACTGGCGCCTTGGAGACATGTGCAAGTGACGCTTGTGGTAAGTATTAATAGAGAGAGTTCTGGAATTTGATTTAAAATTATTGTCCTGTGTTACTTATATCAAGAGTTGCTTATATATACATAAATCATAGTGTAAACAAACAAACAAGCAAACGTCTTTTTTATTTATACATAAACATTGCAATAGTAAAGTTTAGCTATAGATATTTTAACGGAATTACTCCCAACAAGATAAATTATTCTGTCTCTCTTATCGGGCGGGGCTCCCTTAGCAGAAGGTGTTAAATTGTTGAAGCAAAGCGTGAATTAGTTTTCCCTGCAAGAGAATTGTTATTGTGTTCTGTAGTAGTATTTTTATTTAATTTTATTGTACACTTGTGTGGGAAGGAAGTTATTGTTGATCTACTACTTGACCACAATCAGTCAAAAGGTCTGGCTTCCCATACTACATGAATACATGTATAGCATGTGAATTACATGTGATTCATAGAATGCATTAATAAAAGACTCCAGGGCATGTGTTTATCATGTGACATAGGAGCCTCTGCTAAAAGGGATATAGAGTTTCAAACACCTCACGACAAGGATTGTTTTACTGTTTTCTCATCTTGTTAACATAACTTATCATCCAATCCACTCCCTCTTTTTGTATTATCACACAATACCCAGTAGATTATTCTTTGACTAAAATAAACATTTTTATTAATAATGTTTTATTTTTCTCAGTTATCGAAGAAGAAGATAATTGGAAGACCAGTACAGATAAGATATCCACCCGACACTGTATTGCAATTATCCTCTGTTTACTAGTCGGTATAGCACTAATAGTGTTATCCCTTACTGTCTACTTACCTGATTATCTTTCTGCTCCTATCCCTCCTCCTAATGCCACATCAAGGATATTGGTAGCTGAAGATGTGACCACGATAGTCGGGACTTATCCTTCTTCTGTCTCCTCTCAGCTCTTAGTCAGTGAAGTCGTCAAAAGAGGAGACGACTTTCATACATGTTATATTCTTATAGTACCTTCATCCATTCTCTCCTATCATCAAAGAACCCAAAACGACTCGTTCAATTCCACGACTATCATAGATGGATACCCTGTTATTAACTATCGTTATGTCTACATGATTAAGGGGTCGTCCCTCTCCATACGAGCTTGTCTTGGTAACGTCTCTCGCTCGCCCGATGCCGTCCTGTATGTCTTTAATAACGAGTCTCAATACGCTGACTATGTTAAGTATTCTGTATCAGATACGGCCGTCTACAGTGCTTTATTGAAAGTCGGTGGGCGTGGACAATCAGAGTGTACTAATGTCTCTTTCACCGCCCCCTCATCTGATTTCTACTTCTTCATCATGCTCCTCCCAGCCGAGGGTACCAAGTATAGCTATTATACGTCGGAGACCGAGAAGTATATAAATTATAAGGATTACTTGTACGATTATTCTTATTGTATCGTCGCTCGTGAGCACAACTGCTCCATGAGTTTGGTTGCTAATTCTACGAGAGATGGTAACCATGCTAGTACTGGTGACGAAGTCACTGTTCTAGCCTACGTCCAACCGAATTATAGCATGGGATCTAAGATTAATCATTTGGATGTCACGTTTGGAAGCTACGAAGAAGGAGAGAGAGACAAGTCGTTCTTCATCTGCTGGTGCCTCTTTGTGATGGGGGTCCTAGTTCTAGTGATGAGTTTGCTCTCTTTTGCATTGTGGGCGTGTTTTTGTTTTCGTAGAAACAAGAGAAGATTTGGCATTAGCTACAAGGGTAGGGCAGCTGTTAACTAAAGAGAGAGAGAGAGAGAGGAAAAGACTAGACTGACATTGTACATGTATTATTATTATTATTATGTGATGATTGATCTTAATCCTCTTTACTCTTGACTTTTAAGGCCTTTTCACACTGGCAAACGTAATGTGCATTAATTAAACATGTTCACACTAGAGTGGTTTCAAATCAATGTGCATCACTCTCAAAAACTGTGCCAGTGTGAAAAGGCCTTAAGTGTATTACATAACTCAGGACAGGATTATACTATAGTTACTACAGTTCCATGTCACCAGAAGGAAAATGTCTAGTGATTTTATACTTAATATAGTGTGTAATAGTAAATATGTCCATACATGTACATGCTAATACTATAGTTAGTAGCCGAGTTAGTAGCAGTATCAGTTGCATATTACGATCTGGTGCTGTCTTGCTTCGATGCACTGTTGACACTAATGCAATTATAGAAAATCAGGGAAACTCCCTTTACTGCAAACAAAGCACACAAATCAGCTTACTCAATGATATTCAGTAGTTTTTATGAATCTGAGTTGACAGCTTAGCTGTCACCTTAGCCATTATTGTTACTATAAATAGGAGCAGTCAGCATTATGATGTCATTCTTTCAGATTGATCCTTCAGTACTAGTAAATCTAAGCTCTATAAATAGAGCCAAAGGCTAGCCCTATCTATCAGTTACAAATTGGAATAATCTACAATCTATAGCTAATATCATATCTCTTCATTCTCTTCAACACTATGAGTGGACAAAAGGACATTGGTAAAAACACCATCATAGTCTGCATCACTTATTGGCCAGAGTCTGTCAAAGATCTCATCAGCCAGCAGAAGTCCTTACTGATGACAGCAGGCAAGCTTAAAGACAGTGACAAACCACCTCCAGAGTGGTTTAGTGGAGCTGACTTTGTTGCAATTCACAATGACCTAAGAGCTGTAAGTAGTTCTATATATATATATATATACATTAATAAGTGTAGTTTAAAACTTTTAGTAAGCTTTAAAAAAGACATAATTTATAGCCCATGTATCAAAATCTATATTAATATAGAATGCCATGTCAGATGCAGACAGCTATCTCAGTGTGAAGCAGGAAGGATACTGCTTAACTTACTTCCCTACTGATAAGTCTGAGATTCAGCCGGTCGTTGAAGTTAGTGTCAAGTTTCAATCTGGCAATGAAGATACCAATGGGCAAGTTGAGAACCTGATCATAGACCGTATTGGAGACCATTGGCTCAATAAATGCTAGTAAGTTCATTTAGTATTGAGGCTTTGATAGTTTATCAATGTTGTCATTTGTAGTATTAGAAACACATCGAAAACGAAATCAAGCAATTGAAAGTGACTAACAACACCATTAATCCATTGAACTGTTAATATTTTGTCTTCAGTTTCAGTTGATAGTCCTGTATCATATACTATACATAAATAATAATGTTTTTAATAATAACTGTGAACATATTAATAAAGTACTAGTGTATAAGTGAGTGTAGGAGAAGTGTGAATGCGTGAATATTATTTAAAATTATCTATCAAATGGTTATCAGTAAATCCTATACCAACTGGCTGTCCTCGATTGTGTTAGAGTGAGGTATGTATACTCTAAACTCGAAGCCATTCTTAGGAAAAGAGCCTGTATTGACAACCATACAATCGCCCGAAGTCACTGAGAAAGGATTACACTTATCTCCAATCATAACTAAGTCGGGTAGTGGGTAGAGCCTGAGGGCGTGGTCACACATCCAGTAGATAGGCCGAGAGTGGAGGGGGAGAGGACAGAGGTGGCCTTGAGAGAGGATGGTTTTCATGAAGTGGTTGGCCATGTCTGTTCCTTCTGTAGGAAAGCGAACGCAATGACGTGACATTTTTGTTAGGATGTCTTCACAAAATACAACAATCTCCCGAGTGCAGAATTGTATCCTACAAGGATTAGAGCAGAAAGTGACGTTGCTCATCCTATATCTGATGTTAAGTAGGATGGTATAGGGAACCGGGGAGAATATCCCTGGGCCCCGGATCAAGGGGTCCGGGGACAAAAAATTGGGACTTTTTGAGTAGATCAGGATAATTAAGCATTGTGTCACCAAGTGCCTTAAATGAATTTTTTAGTCTTTTGTGTCGGTCAGCACCATAAGGGGTCAAGCTAAGACCTAAGAGCTGCAAGAGATATGTATCTATGCTATGCTTACTGCATATCAACATCTTAATGTAGAATGCCATGTGAGATGCAGAAAGCTGTCTTAGTGCTAAGCAGAAAGGATACTGCTTCACTTACTTCCCTACTGATAAATCTGTAAGTCAGCCAGTGCTTGAAGTTAGTGTTAAGTTTCTATCTGGTGATAAAGATAGCAATGTAAAAATTGAGAAACTAATCATGGATCATATTGGAGGTCATTGGCTCAAAAAATGCTTGTAAGTTATCTACAAGGCTTTGAGTAGTAGACTACCTAGATCTAAATATCAATGTTTATTTTCAGCATTAGAAACACTTTAAAATCAACACCAAGCTGCTTTTAAAGAGACCAATAAATACTTTCAGTTGAGCATCAGTGTTGTACTGTAATTAAAATTTTAATTCAATGATATTCATATATCTGGCTTATTAATAGATTTAGCTGTAGATCTACGTCATTCTTCGTATCAAATGCAAAACAAGCGTAACAGTGTAAAAAATATTCCTATAATTGATTTCACCACCTTGCAAGACTAACTGGATTTTATTAAGACTTATAGAGGCTCTCTCTACCTTCTAATGCTTCTAGAGAAGTCTTTAGACAGTATCTCTATGTTCTCTTGCTGTTAGAAAGCTCTTCACTTTGTCCCAAGTTTAAGCCGCCATTTTGTTTGTCGTGACCACACCCACTACGTAAAGTAGCGTGGGCGGGTGGTTGCTGAGGCTTATCATAGATATTAGAGTAAATGAATAATTAGAGTAATTTCATTTACTCTAATATCTATGGGCTTATGAAACGACCTGGGGCTACGCCCCCAGGTCGTTAATAAAATGAGTGCCTTGAGTAGTAGAGAGAAAGATAGTAAAAATGCAGCAATTGAGATCTGCATCACTTACTGGCCAGATTCAGTCAAGGACCTCATCCGACACCAGTATAGCTTGCAGAGTGACATAATGGAGGCAGATCAGCGAGATTGGGAAGAGATGTATGGCCATAAGCATAGAACTCGGGCTGCATATGATCCTTGGGCTGACTCCTGGGAATCTGACCGGTATAGACGTAGTCCAAGTCCACCGCCACGACCAAGTCCACCTCCAAGGTGGTTCGGCGGAGACGACTTCATCAGCATTCACGATGGCCTAAGAGCTGTAAGTAGATCCTGTCTGATCTAAACCTGTCTGCATGTATTGTTGTATAGAATGTCATTTCAAGAACTAGCTCTACAGTAGACAGTTTCCTTATTGTTAAGGAAGAAAAATGCTACTGTACTTACTCTAGCAGCAGGTCTAAAAGCAAGCCAGTAGTCAATGTTGATGTGCATTATGAATCTGGTGATGAGTGTGATGAGGCTCTTGTGGAACTAATTATGAAGGATATTGACAAACATTGGCTAAATAAGTGCTTGTAAGTTAAACTCAGTATTATTGTAATATTATCTAACCATGTTTTATTTGTAGTATTAGAAACATGTCAAAAGTGAAATCACGTTCACATTGAAAAAGCTAAAACTTATTGCTATTATTTTTGTTTGGTATTAATAGTGATTTTAATAAGTGTGAAGATAGTTATAATAATGAAGTATTATTATCAATAAGTAATGTTATACCAACTGACTGTCCTCGATTGTGTTAGAGTGAGGTATGTACACTCTAAACTCGAAGCCATTCTTAGGAAAAGAGCCAGTATTGACAACCATACAATCGCCCGAAGTCACTGAGAAAGGATTACACTTATCACCAATCATAACTAAGTCGGGTAGTGGGTAGAGCCTGAGGGCGTGGTCATACATCCAGTAGATAGGCCGAGAGTGGAGGGGGAGGGGACAGAGGTGGCCTTGAGAGAGTATGGTCTTGGTAAAGTGGTTGGCCATGTCCGTTCCTTCTGTAGGAAAGCGAACGCAATGACGAGACATCTTTGTTAAGATGTCTTCACGAAATACGACAATCTCCCGAGTGCAGAATTGTATTCTACAAGGATTAGAACAGAAAGTGACATTGCTGATTCTACTGGTAATATCTGATGTTAAGTAGGATGGTATAGGGGGCCGGGGAAGAATATCCCCAGGCCCCGGATCAAGGGGTCCAGGGACAAAGAAAAATTGAGACTTTTCGAGTAGATCTGGATAATTAAGCATAATGTCGCCAAGTGCCTTGAACGAATCTTTTAATCTTTTGTGTCGATCGGCACCGTAAGGGGTGGAGCTAAAATTACCCATAAATATAAAAGCGGCTGGTGGAAAATCAGAATAACCGGAAAACAGAAGAGGGAGCTTCTCAAGGACTTTATCATCATCTAGAAATAAATCCGAGAAGAAAACCAACATGACTCCTTGATTTCCTTTCAGCATATCCTGGAGCTTAACGGAAGCCTTGGCAGCTATTGGTGAAGGCCCACCAAAAAAGTTAACAGTTCCAAAATAATTCCGAGTGATTGCAGAAGACTCAATGGGTGGGCACCCAATGGCCGATAAATGAAAAACTCCATCTTTGAAAAGTCCTTCGGCAAGTACGATAGAGTTCTCGACAAAAAGCCCAGTGTGGAAAAGACAGGCCGAAAGATCTAATTCAATTTTACCTGTCAAATCTTCCAAATAGAATTTCCTCTCCCGTAGCTGTATCAACATACCTAGTACTATTATCTTATCAGGAAGACCAGAACTGCTTAGGAGGTATTCGATCGTGTGCAGTCGAAATTTCGGGCCTTTACTAGACCCAGCCGCTCCAACAACAGGGGGGCTGAAAAGATGATGTCGAACAGTCCGTTGATAAATTAGGTTGTATCGCTCTCGAAAAAGTTTCGTCTTTTGTGTAGCAGATGCAAAGAGCTTCATGGAAGGAAGAGGAATTGGTAGGAATTTTTTCTGGTCGGGATTATAAGTGAAAGGTGGCGTCTCGAATGCATTTATTAGAACTAGCGCTTTATCAGGGTCGGAGTCTGTCTCTTGGTTACATTCTTCTACTGCTGTCTCTATCACATCTTTATCTAGGAGTGATTTCTTTAGTGGCTGCTTCTGAACTGCTTCTATAATGTCGTCTATTATCTGCGTGAGGTCCTCACTGTCTTTATAAAGGTCTAGTACCTCCACTAGGAACGTGGTGGCCTCGTTGGTAAGCTGAAGTCCTTGCAATTTGAAATCAGTTACTATCCTCTTTCTGAAAGCCATTTTATTCCCTCCACCCTCCTTCTTGACTGAGTTGACGCCTTGATTTGATACTGATTCTAATTTGATCACAGTAGATCTAGAACACTCCCTTTGCATGATAAAATGTCCTCCTCTAGGAAAATAGCTTATTTTTATGATCCTGATGTCGGTAGCTTCCATTATGGTGAGGAAGAGAGGGAAGGGAGATGGTTATGTTATATTCTGCAGGTGCTGGTCATCCAATGAAGCCTCACAGATTAGCACTGACCCACACACTTGTTCTTAATTATGGACTCTACAAGAAAATGGAGGTCAGATATTTTGTCTATTATTATGATTCTCTATATATTTATATGCACTATGGAATATGTATTAGGTAATTGGATTTATGGGCAGAATGTTTTTCAAAACGTTATTGTCCAATATTAAATTACGTGCCATTATTATTATTATCATTATTTTTTAGGTATATAGACCATATAAAGCTTCAAAGCTGGACCTGTGCAGGTTTCATGCTGAAGATTATATTGATTTTCTACAAAGGTTTCATAAATCAAGAGACTATAGTCTTTAACTCTCCCTCCTCCTCTCTCTCTTCTCTCTCTCCTCCATTAGGGTTACTCCTCATAATATTTCCGGTTTTACCTCAAGTCTATCAAGATTTAACGTTGGAGACGATTGGTAATACCACACCCACTTTATCACAATTAACTCCACCCACTTTTATTACTTATCATTGACCACACCCATTTCTTGTCAGTCCTGTTTTTCCTGGTTTATACGATTTCTGTTGTGTCTATACTGGTGCCTCTATTGAAGGAGCCATCAAGTTGAATCATGAGGTATTGTATGGTATCATGTGAGAATCATGTGATCTCTCCTATTAGTCATGTGACATTGCTATTAACTGGGCCGGTGGGCTACATCATGCCAAGAAATTTGAAGTAAAATTATTATTATTTATTATTATTATTACTTATTATTATTAATTAATTATTATTATTAATTAATTGTTATTATTAATTAATTATTATTATTAATTAATTAATTACTATTATTAATTTTGTAGGCTTCAGGATTTTGTTATGTCAATGATATTGTCATTGGAATATTAGAATTATTAAAGTAAGCATAATAATCATTTTTAAAACCATCTTTCTACCTCTTATTCTAATTAATGCCCACCTACAGGTACCACCCGAGAGTGTTATACATTGATATTGATATTCACCATGGAGACGGAGTACAGGAGGCATTTTATCTCACAGATCGAGTAATGACTGTCTCCTTTCATAAATATGGAAACTTCTTTTTTCCCGGAACTGGTAAACTTAACCTTTAAACTTTATTACTCTCTCTCTATTTCTTGCTCTACCTTTTTCTTCTCTCTTTTTGAAGGGGATATGTACGAAATTGGAGCTGAAAAGGGAAAGTTTTATTCATTAAATGTACCTCTTAAAGATGGGATTGATGATCAAAGTGAGTCTCATTTAGACCCTGTACTATACAGGGTCTTTGACTTGATTTTGGAGCAACTTTAAAAATTCATAATAAATCCAAATTTGATCAGAATTATCTTAAACTTGATACACAACATAAGTACATGTATACGTATCAGGAAAAATTATAAAAATAAAAAATTCTCACTTTTTCATTTTTGGCAAAATTTGGCCAAGGACCCTGTACTATAGGGACTTTGACCCAATTTTAGAGCAACTTTAAAAATTCGTAAAAAATCCAAATGTGATCGGAATCAGCCCAAACTTGATACACAACATAAGTACATGTATATGTATCAGGAAATATTTTTAAAATGAAGAATTCTCTCCTTTTTTTTGGCGAAATTTGGCCCGTGACGCTGTACTATAATACATGGGGTTTGGCCTGATTTTTGAAATATTAAATCACTCCTGATTTATTAATTATTATTTATTAGGCTACATATTGTTGTTCAAGCCAATCATTCACTCAGTCATAGAGCACTACAGACCATCCTGCATTGTATTGCAGGTACAATATATTTTAAATATACCTATATCTATTGTTGTGATAATTATTTCATTATTTCTTATTGCTATAGTGTGGTGCAGATTCTCTGGGATGTGATAGGCTAGGCTGCTTTAATTTAAGCATTAAAGCACACGGGTAATGTACTACCCCTTTATCTTACACCATTACCTTTTTCTTTTCATTCTCTTTATCCTTCTTTCTCTTTCTCCTACCATTACCATTCTTTTCCTCTCTCTCCCTCATCTCTCTTGTTCCTTCCATTTCTCTCTCCTCCTCCAGTGAATGTGTTAAATATGTCAAGTCATTCAATATACCCACACTAGTACTGGGAGGTGGTGGGTACACTATTCGTAATGTTGCTAGATGCTGGACGTATGAGACATCATTATTACTGGACACTGATATCAGCAATGAGCTACCATATACAGGTATAGCATAGGAAGAATTGTATAATTGATATAAGTAATATTTGAATGGGCTTTCCTTGTATAATTTGATTGGGTAGTCTTGTAATATGAGCAGTATTTGAATAGGCTTTCCTTGTATAATTTGATTGGGTAGTCTTGTAAATTTTTGTTGTCTTTTATAGAATATTTTGAGTATTTTGGTCCTGATTTCACACTCCATCCTGATGTGAGTACTAAAATGGAGAACCAGAACACAAGACAAGTTAGTTTCCTATTTGCTCTAATATCTTACAAGCATTGTAGCTGTTATTTCCTACACTCACTCATAGTTTTTAGACTATTTTTTTCATATTCAATTTTCCTTTTTGATTGTTTAGAGAGCCTGAAGGGCTTAAGTACAATATTTTAGTTTAGTTTCCATCGTGTGTGGTCACTGTTTTGGTGTCCTCTGAGTATTGTCACATAGTAATTGTGCATGAATGAGTAACTCTATATTACACTCATTTATATATACTAGTAGTACTATGTTAATGTACAGTACTGCATTACATAAAAGTACTGTACTAACATATATTGCATGAACATAAAGTATTGAGTCTCTCAAGTTTTATTGTGCTTGAAATCTCCTTCAGTAGGCATGACCAACAACAAAATTCCTTTGCCATATTTGCATATTTGTATTGTGTATGCACAATTATTATGTATGAAGTGTAGTCCATTATGTATTATTATGTTTATCATGAGAGCAGCTACATATGCTATTTTGTATAACTAAGGGTGCAACAGTGATAAGTTTTTTATATGTAAAAGAGTTCTAACACTCTCATGATTTTACTGTTTTACCATTGATACACTAAAACTTTTCTTTTAGCTCATTGTTCTTTCACCTTTCTCTCTTTCTCTCTTTCTCTCTCAGTATTTAGATCAGATCAAGCAACATGTTTTAGAAAATTTAAGAATATTACCACACTCCCCTAGTGTACAGATGCACCAAGTAATGACATACAATACAATGTACTTTATTTGTCAGTGTGTGTGTTAGCTTGTTATTTTGTTACTCTCATACTGTGTACTGTATTAGGTTCCTCCTGATATGCTAAGTATGGAGGTACCTGAAGAACCTTCACTTGATGTTCGAGAAACCCAACATGAAACTGACTCAAGGTATTTATTATTATTATTATTATTATTAGTAACTTTACATGTACTTTTATGATAGAGTTGAGCATTCCGCTGAATATTATGACAGTGATAAAGATCAAGATTTAACATACCATCATAACATTGACAATGTTTAACTATCATTATTAATTCACACAACAAGGCTACTGTACAATTTAATAGAGTAATGGTCTGATGTGGTTCTCAAGAGTTGTCACAGTTGTGTAAACTATTCTTGTAATTGCTATTACTATGAGTTACAGGAATAGTTTTTACATGACAATTCATGAGAATTGTCCCCCATACCATTATATAAAAGGCATAGCGCTATTAACCTTAAGCTCCAGTTGAAAAACTACCACACTGTGAGATAGAATGGACATGGAAGGTGGTGATAAAGCATTTGTGGTCCAATTGAAGAGTCTTGGAGTAGCTGAAAATGATCTAGAGCAGTCTAAAGAGATGAAAGAAGTGCCAATTGAAGAATTTCGTAAGAAAATTCGTTCTGAAGCTTCTGACAAGAACGAAACTCAAGAGGAATTGTCAAGCACAAACGAGAAAATTGAAACTAGCAAAGACAAGGAAAATGAAACTACAGATGAGAATTCAAACCCAAATTTGAATGATGAGGCAATGACTAGATTAGATGCAATAAATGAGGAAAAGGAAGAAATATTACCCACCAATGCAGATTCAAATAACGAAGAACCAGGAAGCATTGATGCAATAAAGGAAGAAATACCAGTCACAAGTGAATCCAATACAGATTCAAATAATGAGGAACCAGAAAGTTTGGACACAATAAAGAAAGAAATCCCACTCACAAGTGAATTCAATGCAGATCCAAATAATGAGGAACTGATAACAGGAGATGTGATTAAGGTGGAAATACCAGCCACAAATGAAATCGATGCAGATGGCTTCGAACAAGTTTCGATTAAAAAGGAAGATAAGTCTGATCCAGTTTATTACTTGCCAGATGAAAGCTATTACGATTCAAAGGGATATGATTGCTGCCAGTCTTGTAGTTGCAATTGCCCATCATGTTTTGATTTTGCTGCTCTTATAAAATGTCCCTCTTCTGATCGTTGCAATTGCTGTGATTGCTGTGATTTAGATGATTGTGCCAAATCCTTAAAATTACCAGATTCAAGAATAATTCGAAAAGCTCGTTTGATTGGAGCGAAAATCCTTGCTGCAGTTATTCTAAGAAGATTATACATTATACCTGTCATTCGTGAAGTTATTGTATACATTGGGTTGATTATCGCTGTTGTTTCGCTAATCACATCTTCAATAAAGTTACATAACACCATACACAGTGACCAAAGGCAACTGGAAAAAACTTTGATTTTTATTGGTTTTGGTTTTAGTATGTTTGGCCTGGCGTTTACTGCCATTGATTCTTTTCTTCGTTTTCGTCATCATGGCTGCCGAGTATTTAAGAGAGCATATAGAAAAGAGGAAGTGGTTCAGGAAGGTGATGAAGATAAAGCAGAATTATGCGATGATAAGTGTCCCCGCTGCGAAGGAATTTGCGGTAAAAGTTGCGTTATTGTCATGGATGTTATTCGAATTATTGTATTAGAAACAATCTTCTATCCCGATTTACTCATCCAAGTGTTTCAATTCATTTTGCTGCTAGTAGATAACAATTACAATTCAAAAATGATTGCTGCTTTGACCTGGTTTACTACTCTCCAGGGTCTTTTGAAAAATTCGATATTTGTCTATGCACATAAAGGATTTATTCTTATTGGCATTATCTTTTCAATTCGTAAAGTCAAAAAAGAAGAGAAGTGGAACAGTGGCCTGTTTATTATATATTTTGTCTGCTACATGTTTGGACTGATGATTCTACAGATATCAATGATCGTTATCATTGGTGAGAGGTTTCGCTATGAGTATACCAACTATGAAGCTATAGAAATGAGTGGTCAGTTGTGGTACATGATAATCTTTACTTTTTTGGTACCACTTATTGGAGTTTTTATGTTTCTTGTCGTTCATCATGTCTGGACAATGACGCTACCTGTAGATGTCACGTATGACATGATTTTCAAGAAAATACATACTAAAGGACATAAGACAAAGGTTCTGGAAAGAGAAATTGGAGACAAAACTGAGTTTGAGAAAGATTATCAAGAATTAGAAGAAGTCCCAAATTGGAGAAAGTTCATTCACCCATACATTAGTCCACTCCATATTGTTCTAATATTTGGTTATTTTTTATTGTTTGCAGGATTTTTCATATGCTGTACTGTCGATGGTACTCTTGGAAATTGGTTTTGGCTGTACCTTGCAACTGGTGTCATGGCTGTGCTAGTTAATATTAATGCTACTGGTGTTACTATTGTGTGGGTGGTCATATTGACTGGAGTCATTGCTACAATTGCTGCAATTGTTGCTGCTGTAATTGGAACGATTGCAATAATTATTGCCTTTTGTCTTGCTATTTTAGCTGTTTTTTTTATTTTTTCTGCCATATGCAGCAATAATAAACAACAATAATTTAAACTTTCTATTGATCACTATTTTTACACATTTTTAAGAGTGATTATAAAATAATACAACTTTTATGCATTTTCTAGCTCAGAGCCAATGCTGATTGCCATAACAGTGTATGATAACAAATTGTTTAACCACATGCATCTTTGATTATTCACAGTGTCTAACAGTCTTACAGTGCACATAGCAAGCATAGTGATATCAGTAGGCACAGTCATCATTTGAATGGACACTAATGTGAGATACTACAACCTTAATATTATCTACTTCATCTCAATTGCAATCTACACCATGTGGCCATTCATTGCTATAACAGCAACAAGGGTAATACTAAAACTACCTATTACACAATTCCGTGGGAAAGCTTACTTACTACCTAAAAGATGAAGCATATCTGTCATTCACTTGTTGCTTCATTCCATTCAGCTTGTTACTTTGTCACTCTCATACTGTGTACTGTATTAGGTTCCTCCTGATATGCTAAGGATGGAGGTACCTGAAGAACTTTTACTTGATCTTCGACTTCGTGAAACCCAACATGAAACTGACTTAAGATACTATTATTTTTATTATTATTAGTGGTATTATACATGTACTTTTATGATTAGAGTTAAGCATTCAGCTGAATATTATGAGAGTGATAAAGATCAAGATTTAACATACCATCATAACATTGACAATGTTTAACTATCATATTATAACATGTAGATATACCAATAAAATAAAAACAGTAGCATGAATAATGCAATCCAGCAATAAATATCTTCAAAAATACTTTGATGCCTAGCTTCCTCAAATACACGGGAAAGTAGCATGTTTCCAAGTATACAACTATCACAGTATCTGTTGCCAAGAGTATTTGAACTTCTTTTGTTGTTTTGACAAAGAAGATATAGTGACAGGCTCTGATCATTATTGTCTTTAATAGCAACTTAAATCTCAGCTATAGTCATCTGCTTGTTGCAGTTTCTAGTGAATTTTGTATTTTGTTACTGGCTACTTGTTACTACCAAAGTTCTGGTTTTAAAGAAATTTTGTGAGTTTTTGCAGATCATTCATTTTAGCAATGGGAAATTACAGTTACTATTATTACACTATTTTTTTAGCATTAGACCCAATCACTCCAGTGATACTTTTATTTTTTACATATTTTTATGTCATTATCATTCTTTTCATAAACAAATGCTGTATTTGCTCTCAGCAGCATACTAATAATAGCGAAGGTAAAGTCTTTAAGGCATTTAAAGCAATCACTGTTGCTGCAGCTAGAGGCCTTTTTGGAGCAGGTGCTATTAAAAGAAGAGATGATGTGAATCCAGTTTGTCTAGAAATTCATGGAAAGTTATATAAAGCAAATGTAATTGTTTTATTATCACTATTGCACTATGTTTTAGCTGTGCTAATTGCAATATCAATTGTATTTATTGCATTCTCTGTTCACATTTCAAGTGATCCTGATGAATGTAATAATCAAACTGTTGACTGCTTCATTTTCAATATAACTGGTGATAATTTCCTTAATGGGACAAATGAAATAGATTGTTCATCATTATTAGAATTGTACAATGAGATGAAAGAAGAGGTTTATGCCGAGTGCTATATATGCTACCAACCAGCCAAGGTTTTAGCATTACTCGGTGGATATATTACCTTTGTACCTCCTTTAATGTTCAGTTTTAGCAATGCAGTACATACATTTATATTTGAGAACAGCCTCAAAAACAAACCTCAAAAATTTTGTCTTATTTTTTCTGCAATTTTATTTATTTCAAATTTGGGCCCTTATGTGTATTTTTTTCTGATTATTTTTAAGTACGACTCTTGGCACCGGTATGTCAAACACATAAATAATAATGATGCATCATTTTGGGGACGATTATCTGCAATAATAATGACATTTTCTTCATTTTTGGCATACCCATGGTTTTGGCTTGGAAACTATCAACATGAACCTCCACAGAAAAATGGGTATGTTGATGTTGAGCTTGGCAATTTTCATAATCATATAGATGAATTTGAAGAATCGGAACACTGAATTCTAGTTCTCTTCAAACTTATTTCTGATAAATAATTCTTATGCTCATAATTATTTAGATATTACATTTCCATGCATAGTTATCAAAAACTATTCTTAGTTCATTTTTGTAAATGCATACATTTTAGTTAGATTTAGTGATTTTAATTTTATTTCTGAGTTTAAAAATTGGCAAAAAAGGCTGCGTTGGGTGGTGTTATCATTTTATTTTTTATTGTTATGACAGATAACACACTACTAGATCTACACACATCGATAACATGAAATATGATTGATGCAATGTTAGTCTAAAAATTTATGATATTAACAGTTATCTACTTTAAATTTCGCATATGGTCAAAGCCTAAAAATGGGGGGCTCTGCTACCCTGATATTATAAATTTGGACAGCTGCCCTCCTGCCCCCGATCACATTTTTACAATTTGTCATCATAGTGACAGCCTATGAGCTGTAATGTAGTGATATTGCTATTCCTATCCTAACAGTCTGACAGTGCAGCAGCACAGTAGCAGTGACAGCAGCAGTAGGTACAGGATACTATCTATCAGTCATCATTAGAAGACAAGGCAATGGACACTAATGTGAGATACTACAACCTTAATGCTATCTACTTCATTGCAATTGCAATCTACACCATTTGGCCATTCATTGCTATAATAGCAACAAGTCAAGGGTAATACTAAAACTACCTATTACACAATTCCGTGGGAAAGCTTACTACCTAAGAGATGAAGCATTCAACCTTCTAGTGAACTTCTCTCAGTATCTTTATGGCAGTGAGAGTATCACATATGAGAATGACCACTTGAAAATCAATGGGAAATAGATCTACTACCAGAAAAATGACAATGCTCTACAAATGCTCCTATACTACAATGGTATAGTGATAGTAAGTCTAGTGGTACTGTCTTTAAGGTTCCTAGTTGGTGAGGAAACCTCTACCGACTGTGTAAACAATGCTAATTGCTTTATAGCCGATGACACAAATTTTACAGAGAGAATTATGAATTGCTCTGAGTATGCAAATGAGAAAGTTATCTGTCAGTTGTTTCGCCTATTTCTGCCATTGGGTTTATTGGCGGATTAATGCAAGTTCTACCACTACTCACTTTTTGGGTCTGCACAAAAATATTATTAAAATTCACCAGCAAAGGGAAAAGTGTTAAGATCCCATTGACTGTTTATAAGCTACATGATATTGTATATGGCAAATGGATTATTGCTATTTCTACTACTAATAACATATATCCATCCAGAATTGGAAGAGATAATACTAGGAAAACTGCTCCTGGATGAAGAGAGTTGGTCAGAAATTATAAGCTTTTGTGTTCTAATTCTTACACTGATCAGTTGCCCCTGGCATCTTTTAGTGGACGCAAAGTTACCAGTGGAAAATGAAGTAACTGAGAATGAGCAAGAGATAGAAATGAAAGACTTTACAATTTGAAAACAGGTTTAATAGACTATGAAGATAGATTTGTGTGAACTTTTATCAAAATACATATTTATGCTGCTTGACATTGCTTTATTTGTAAATTGATTGTAATAACTGATTCTACTCATGACACCTCATCCTACATAGCACTATAAGCTCATAGCATGCAAAGCATGCACTGCATCAGTTAATGTAGTTCAGAAGCATGAGCAACTAGGGCATTGTTTAATAATACACACAGCTCCTGTTTGCATTTATGGTTTCTGTGAATTGTAAGTAATGAACTAGTAAAACATCCCAAGTTCATGCAATATCTCCTATATCACTAGTCTATCTTTCTCTCTATTGTTTAATATTCTTGAGCCTAAAAACGACATACAATCTGCTATGGTCATAGCTAGATAGATTTAGCTTTGTTATGAACATATTTATGATATGATGGAGTACCACTCTCACTAGAAATATGCTAAAGCTGCGGTATAGTAAACTAAAAAATTGTGTTAAATAAAACTGTAAATTATATCACTACTTTGATAGTACTCTAAGTTATTTTTATACTTTATATAGCAACTAAACTGTGAAAATTCATAAGAATCATCTCATGTCATTATATAAGGGCTTGTTTTGAATTATTAGCCTTAGTTCAGAAGTAGGCCTACTACTGAGGATTTTGAATCAGAAGGGACATGGCAACTGTTCAATGTGCAGCCAAACCAAAAACAAAAAAGCGAAAGAAAAAGGTAGCTGTAAAGAAACCTGAAATAGATGAAGATCTATCTCTTGATGATAAAGAGCAGCCTTTGCCTGATGAGGAAGAAGTAAAAATACCAGTAGTTTCATTGTCTGAGGTTCTCAAACATGATGATCTTGAAGTTTCTGATGTTAAAGGAATTGAAGAAGAGCTGCTAAACAAAAATGAAGAGAGTGAAGAAAGGCCAGATTCAAGTGAGGACTTAGATCACAAGATAAACCATGAGGAAAATGAAAGAACAAATGAGGGCTTAAAGGATAAAAGAATCGATGAAATAAATGAGGAAAAGGAGGAAGCACCAGTTACCACCACAGATGAAGTTGATGTAGACTCGCATCATGATTCAAATGACAAGGAAATAAGTGTGGATGCAGCAATGGAAGAAACAACACTTATAGATAAAGCTAAAGCAGATTCAAATAATGAGAAACCGATCAGCGTTGATGTAATAAAGGAGGAAACAACACTCACAGATGAAGCTAAAGCAGATTCAAATAATGAGAAACTGATCAGTGTTGATGCGATAAAGGAGAAAACAACACTCAAAGATGAAGCCAAAGTAGATTCAAATACTGAGAAACTGATCAGTGTTGATGCAAAAAAGGAGGAAACACTGCCTACAATTGAAGCTATCACAAGTTTAGATAATGAGAAACTGATCAGCGTTGATGTGGACCACGTGGTAACTGAAGAAATGTCACTCACAAATCAAGCCAATGCAGATCATTCACATGCCGAGGAAATGATAAAGGAAGAGGTCATAATGGAAACATCACTCATGAATCAAGCAAGTGCAGGTTTATATCATCATTCACACAACGAAGAACTGATGAAGAGCGATGTCGTAATGGAAGCATCCTTCATGAATCAAGCAACTGCAGATTTATGCTATCATTCTTACAATGAAGAAATGATAGAGGGACAGGTTATAACGGAAATGCCTCAAGCCAGTGCAGATTTATATTATTATCCACTTGAAAATCAAACCAGTTATTATCCACTTGAAAATCAAACCAGTTTTTATCCACCTGCAAATCAAACCAGTTATTATCCACTCACTCAAGCCAATGCAGATTTATATTATCAGTCGCATAATGAGAAAATGATGCAGAGGGATGTCGTAATGGAGATGCCACCCACAAATCAATCTAATGCAAATAACCTCCAACAAGTTTCATTAACAAAAAAGAAAGATAAATCTGATCCAATGCATTATTTGCCGAGCGATAGCTTTTATGATTCGTATAGATATAAATGTTGCAAAGCGTCGTGTTGCTGTGATTGCCCCACATGTCTTGATTGTGCTGCTTGTTGCTCTTGCAGTGCTTTCAAGGATTGGAAAATCAAAGATTCAGAAACATTAAAAGCTGCTCGTTTGGATGGAGCGATCACAATTGCAAAAGCTGTTTTAGAAAATATATATAATCCAGTGATTCGTGAAATTATTGTATATTTGGGGTTCATATTTTTATTATATTCACTGGTCGAATCTTCACTTGGATTAGCGGAGGGCCTACAAAGTGATGAAAGGCAGTTGGGGAAAACATTGAACTTTATCGACTTTGGTCTTAGCATGTTTGGCCTGCCATTTACCATTATTGATTCTTTTATTCGTCTTCGTCATAATGGCTGCAGGGTATTTAAGAGATTATGTAAAAGAGAGGCACTGGTCCAGAAAGATGATGAAGATAATGCAGAATGCTGCAATGATAGTTGTGCTTGCGATGGAACTTGTGGTAAAAGTTGCGTTATTGTCATGGATATTGTTCGTATTGTTGTGTTAGAAATAATCTTCTATCCTGAATTAATCGCTCAAATGTTTCAGTTCATCACGCTGCTAGTAGATAACAATTACGATCCAAAAATGATTGCTGTTTTTGATTGGTTCAACGCTCTCAAAGGTCTTTCGGGCATTTTGATATTTGTCTACTTACAAAAAGGATATTTTCTTATTCGCATTATTTTTTCGATTCGTATAATCAATAAAGAAAAAAAATGGAACAGTGACCTACTTATCATATTTTTTGTCTTCTACATGTATGGACTAATGATTCTACAGATATTAATGATCGTTATCATTGCTGAGAGGTTTCGCTATGAATATACCAACAACTTTGGGCCTCTAGAGATGAGTATTCAGTTGTGGTACATGATGATTTTTACCTTTTTGATGCCTTTTATTGGAATTTTTATGTTTTTTTTCGCTCATCATTCCTGGACAAGAACACTACCAGTAACTGTCATATATGAAATTTTTAAAATTTTGCAAACTGAAGGAGAGGGATCAAAACAGCTAGAAAGCTTTATTGGCATAATTCCTTACCTTAAAAAAAGAGCATGGCTATTTACAACTAATCAGTTCAAGAGTGAGTATCAGGAATTAAAAAATGTCTCATTTTGGAACAAGTTCATTCAACCATTTATTAGCCCACTCCATATAGCTGTATTATTTGGTTATTTTCTCTTGTTTTCTGGGTTCTTCTTAAGCAGTACACTCATTGGTCCTTTTGGAAAATGGCAGTCGGGAATGTACATTGGAGCTGGTGCCTTAGCAATACTACTTAACATTTATGCTACTAGTGTTACAATTGTGTGGTTATTCATATTGGCTACTATTATTCTTACTATTGTGGCATTGATTGCTTTTTCCATTGCAATCATTGCAATTGTATTTCTTGGTCTATTTCTACTTTTTATTTGTTCTTGCATGGGTAGCAACAATAATAAATAGTTGCCTATATAACTTTACATGCACATGTGTGTTACTAATTACCTTGATTTTAGTTTTATTCTTATAGTTCAAGAGTTTATAATTTTAGAATGTTTTTAAATGATAATCAACACTACAGGATGATCATTTATATAGCAGACTACTATAGACTATTTATACATACATACATTATCTATACAAACTAAACTAACTGATAAGAACATGTTTTGCATGCTCAAGTTTATAGTGCTATACAGACTACATAGCACTATAAGCTTGAGAATGCAAAGCATGTTTTTATCAGTTAGTTTAGTTTAAAGGCACTAGCAACTAGAGAAGAGATATGCTGATTTAATACTGTGCTGCCGCTACTTTATCAGAACCAGAGCCTTAATTCATAATTATTTAAAATTTGTGAGAATTTGAGTATGATTACTAAAGTAATAATTTGATAAAGCAACGGAATCATAAAACATCTCAAAAACATGTAATAGTTTAATTATATATTACTTAATTAAGCTATCTTGGCAAAAATTTTTCTTTATATTATTTCAAGTTCCCCAGTCTTCGAGCTAGTCTGTCTTTCTCTCTTGATCCTGTAGAGCCAGTCTAATCAATAAAAACAAAATGTGCATCAATAATATGCATCTGAAAATGTAACAAAATTTAGGGTGATTTTGGGGCCATTTTTTGGAGAAAACCATGGGCTATAGCCTTGGGTATTTTTCAGAATTTTGGCGTTTTCTTAAAACAGCTATAACTCGAAAAATATTTGTTGGAATTAGCTCAAACTTGCTATATATCATAAGGACATCAATATGAATCAGAAAATTTAATAAAAATTTGGGGTGATCTAGGAGCCATTTTTTGGAAAAAAACCATGGGCTATAGCCTTGGGTATTTTTCAGAATTTTGGTGTTTTCTTAAAATGGCCATAACTCGAAAAATATTTGTCGGAATTAGCTCAAACTTGCTACATAGCATAAGGACATCAATATGGACCAGATAATTTAATAAAAATTTGGGGTGATCTAGGAGCCATTTTTTGAAAAAAACCATGGGCTATAGCCTTGGGTATTTTTCAGAATTTTGGCGTTTTCTTAAAATGGCCATAACTCGAAAAATATTTGTCGGAATTAGCTCAAACTTGCTACGTAGCATAAGGACATCAATATGTATCAGAAAATGTAATAAAAAATTAGGGTGATTTTGGGGCCATTTTTTGAAAAAACAATGGCCTTGGGTATTATTCAAAAATTGGCTCAAAAAAAAATGCTCATAACTCCAGAGTTCCTTGTTAAAATGAGCTATTGAGCTCAAAACTATCAAATTAAACACATTTACTAACCTGCAGTGGTGAACTACTCAATACAGTACTTCTGTAATCTTTAGCATCTCTACAAGCACAAAAAAATATTATTCAATATAATGCATTAATTTAATACCCATACAATTCAAAATTTAAGCTAATAATACTACACAATGTATCAGCATAAAGTATTGCTGTTACAAGTATAACACAATCATTCAGTATAATGCAATTACGTATACATGTACTTGTACAATTTATAAGTATTAAAATACTATAATAGTATCATTAATGTATGAGTATCGTTACCTTCCTTTGACTTGCTTTTCCCACCTAGCAGCTATTGCTGACTTTGCTTTTGATTTGCTCTAAAAACAAATAATAATAGAATAAAGTTGTGAATACATATTATGAAAAGTGTAAATACTTCTTCTAATTCTCTCATCTTCTCTTCTTCCTTTCTTTGCTTTGCAATCTCAACCCTTTGCTTCCTTTCCTCTGCCTCTCTCCTCAACTGCTCTTCCTCTAGCTCCCTCAACTTGTCACTATCAAGTCTCTTCTGCTTAACCTCCTCCTCGACATTACGCACCCTCCTGTAGTAGGAAATTTTTAATGGGTAAGCAGGTAAAATTTTAATGGGTAAGCAGGTAAAATTTTAATGGATAAGTCAATAAGTTTTAATGGGTAGGTACATGTAAGTTTTTTGCTTACATGATTTCTGCGACCATTTTTTCTCTGCTTTTTTGCAACTTTTCTTCCATTTCTCTTTTTTGTTTCTCCTCTTTCTCTCTCCTACGCTGTATCCAAGCCTTCTTCCTTTGCTCATACTGGACTCTCTCTTCGGGCGACATGTCTTTTACTTTCTTTTCTTCCATTATCTTTATCCATTCTTCTATTGTCACCTCTGAGAAAAGAAAAAATAAGTTTGACTTAAAGTTTTTAATTATTATATCAATTGCCCAAAGTCTAATACTGAACATTACCTTTAATACTTACATCTACATACTTTAATACTTAAATCACCTTAAATTATACTTTTTTATTTTTCATAATACTTGAAATTATTTTAATACTTAACATCATTATTACCTTTCTGCTGCTCCTCTAACATTTTCTTTCTCATTTCCTCCTGTAGTTTCTCTCTCTCTTCTCTTTCCTTTAGTTTCTGTGCTCTTATCACCCAGGCCTCCTTCATATTCTTTGACTCCTGCTCGAGCATCTCGTCCCATTCTGCCTCCAACTTTCTAGTGGCTTCCTCATCCGACAATTTCACCTGAAACATTAAAATATTAAATAATTTATTATTAAGGAAAAGAGAGGAGAAGAATCTCAACTTATATATATAATTAATATGTTATTTTTTACTTTTTTATCTTCTTCATATTTCTTTAGAGCCGTCTCTTCAATCTGCTTCATTTCTTCTTCCCATTCTTTGAGCTTACGAGCACTAGAAACAAAGACAACAATAAACATATAACAGTACAGTAATACACAGTAATAATAGTATAGTAATATACAATAATAAAAATACAGTAATACACAGTAATACACAGTAATAATAGTACAGTAATATAATAGTAATAATTGTTATTATAATAATAAACAGTAGCTCTTTACACTTTATCACAAACATTCAGTTTGGCAAACAGTTTCACTGCAACATTTTAATGATTATAATTTTAGTAAGAATAACAACACACAATACTTGCATTAATTATGACAATAAAATTTAAACTCAAAGCAATTTAAATATTTGTTTATCAATTTGTTGCTGTTATCGTTTACCTTTCCTCTTCTCTCTTTCTTGCCAACTCTTCCACACTAGATACACTTAATCCAGGAAGATTATGAGTCTGCAAGATAATAATAAAATAATGTTTACTCCTACTAAAGTTAAATTATCTATATTCTTATACTAAACATAATGCAACAAGGCTACTAGTACAATATAACTTGCCTCTGATGCTCTCTTCTCCATCAATTGTAAATCAAAGCTCTCCTTCTTTCTCCTTTCTTCTGCTTTCTTCTCTTCCGATTGCTTTGACTCCAAAAGATTATCAATGCTTGCCAGCTCAGCAGAAAACATGTCATCAAGATCATCCAATATGGCAGAGTTACGACTGAAAATAAAATAAAAAGTTTTTAATTTAGCTCTCTCTCCCTCTCTCTCTCTCTCTCTCTCTCTTACTTTGCAGTTGCTATTTTCTTCCTAGCAGGTGAAGCAGCTACAGTGTATCTTCTTGGTGATGGAGATGGTTCTGATGATGAATCGCTTGAGCTACGGGCGGATCCTCTTCTTTCAGTCCTCAGAAGTAAAGACCCAGACCCTCCAGAGCCTAACCTGGCTTTAGTCGGAGAGGGAAGTGTGTACGATTTCTTTTCAAAAGGCGAGTCCGGCTCGTCGACTTTTGAAGGTTTCTGTACAACCGGCATTATTTTAGTTTTGTTCTCTGGAGGAGGAGGAGGAGCATTGGGATCAAACGAGTTAGTATCATCAAGGACATTCATTATCTCGGCCTCGAGTCCTTCAAGTTGCGCAAGAAAATCAAGCGAAGATTGAGACCCTTGAGAACCCTGAGATCCATTCTGCTGTGGATCAACAGTAGGTGGAGCCTCTCCGGTGCTTGATATATCTGTGATAACGGCCGAGAGTCCTTTTTGAGAGGCAGTTTTCATTTCCGGAGCATTAGCGTAAGGATCTTTGTAAGGCTCTCGGGGTACCTCCTCTCTGTTTTTATTCTCAGACAAGAACTTGTTGGAAGCACGAGATATCTCTTCTAGCTCCGCCTTGGCTGCCTCTTCATCAACTTCCTCTTCTTCTTCCTCCTCCTCTTCTCCGTCTGATTCAGCAGGGGGAGGAGGAACAGGAGGGGGTGTGTCCTCTTCTCTAGATTGAGAAGGCGGCGGCTTAGACTCATACATAGGAGGAGGAGGAACTGGGGGTCGTCCCTCTGAATGAGTCGGCGAAAAAACAGTTATGGTAGGTGGAGGCGTGGGCGTGCTTTTTGTCAGCGGAGATGCATCACGAGGAGGCGGAGTCACGGGAAAACCTGATTGCGTGGGCGGTGGTGAAAATACTTGAGGTGAGGACGAATCAACATCGGGTGAATTGATACTTTTAGATGATGATTCTTCGTCAATCCCGACTGATTCTGCTTTAAGCATTTTAGGTTCATCTCGTTCCTCAACTAGACTCTTGACTGAGGAGTGACGACTGGAAGAGAGACGAGAAATTTCAGCACTCTCTGAGTGAGAGAGATGAGAGGAATGGAGGGAACTGGTGCTACTGTGGAGCTGCTCATTACTCGCCTGTAGAAAGAGAGAGAGAGAGAGAGGGAGGGAGAAAGTACAGAATATAAAATATGTTTTAAAATGTAGTAAGTATATAATATTAAATACAAATATTGAATTAAATATTAAATATTAAATATTAAAAAATTAAATATTAAATACATGCATGCTTTAAAAGCATGCCAATAATGTCTGTAGTAGTAACTACTGTTGTCTAATAAGTATTATTGCTAGTGTAAGATGTAACATTATAGTATCTGTATAGTAAGAGACAAATATAGAAAGAAAAATATTGAAAATAATATGACAAAGAAAAAGTACTCAATATATTTGCAATAAAAGTCACATGCAAATAAACTAACTTCAGTACACTCCATGACAATACACTAACTGACAATAACAGAAATAAAGAGAGAGGAAGAGCTAGAGCTCAATATTCAGTAACTAAACAAAATACTATTGGCTGGCACTTTTAACCACAGAAATAAATCACACCCATTCAATCATATACAATCATTAATACTACAGTAAATGCAAATAAACATACATACATGTACATATATACATTATTATATATATTTGTATTAGTTATAAGCTACAAGTATAGAAGCATAGATAATACATAATATATACATATATAGATTCATAAATATACTTGCATATGTTATAAGCATACACTAATACAAAGTGAAAACATAATGTCTAATTAATGTGACAGGTGTCAGGCATGTGACCTCTCTATTTCTCTCTCTCTCTCTCTTCATAAAATTCAATTAATGTTGTGTACATAATTTGTACTAAATGCATTTTGCAAACAATCCACCTGTTTTGACTAGAGTTTAAAAATTAGATAAATAGTTTATATTATCCTTCATTAATAATGTACTACGTGCAGCAGCAAAGTAAACTATATTCTAAGTAACTTTATTAAGTTTTTAATAATAAAATTATTTTATAATTTCATTAACTATAATAAGATTACAAATGAGAGGTCTCACTGTGTTATTCATGATGAATGGGTTTCCAACAAAAGAGTCAAATTTCCCGTTTTTAAATCTCTCCGGAGGTATGGATTTGAAGACGGTACTTATGTACGGGTACTCAGTGGGTACTACGAACATTGGGATGGAAGGAGGCGGAGTGGATTCTCTACAGGAAGGTTTTTCAGAGACGAGAGCAGCAACTCTTTTAGCAGTCAAGTTAAACTAAAAATAGAAATATTATAAAACATTGCTGGTGATGATTTTCATTTTATTTTAATTTTTTCATTAAGAAATTCTTATTCCCGTGCTCCATTTCTCATTCCCATGCTCCAGTTTTCATTCCCATGCTCCACTTTTCATTCCCATGCTACAGTTTTCATTCCCATGCTCCAGTATTCATCCCCATGCTCCAGTTTTTATTCCCATGCTACAGTTTTCATTCCCATGCTCCACTTTTCATTCCCATGCTACAGTTTTCATTCCCATGCTCCAGTATTCATCCCCATGCTCCAGTTTTTATTCCCATGCTACAGTTTTCATTCCCATGCTCCACTTTTCATTCCCATGCTACAGTTTTCATTCCCATGCTCCAGTATTCATCCCCATGCTCCAGTTTTTATTCCCATGCTACAGTTTTCATTCCCATGCTCCACTTTTCATTCCCATGCTACAGTTTTCATTCCCATGCTCCAGTATTCATCCCCATGCTCCAGTTTTTATTCCCATGCTACAGTTTTCATTCCCATGCTCCACTTTTCATTCCCATGCTACAGTTTTCATTCCCATGCTCCAGTATTCATCCCCATGCTCCAGTTTTTATTCCCATGCTACAGTTTTCATTCCCATGCTCCACTTTTCATTCCCATGCTACAGTTTTCATTCCCATGCTCCAGTATTCATCCCCATGCTCCAGTTTTTATTCCCATGCTACAGTTTTCATTCCCATGCTCCACTTTTCATTCCCATGCTACAGTTTTCATTCCCATGCTCCAGTATTCATCCCCATGCTCCAGTTTTTATTCCCATGCTACAGTTTTCATTCCCATGCTCCACTTTTCATTCCCATGCTACAGTTTTCATTCCCATGCTCCAGTATTCATCCCCATGCTCCAGTTTTTATTCCCATGCTACAGTTTTCATTCCCATGCTCTACTTTTCATTCCCATGCTCTAGTTCTCATTCCCATACCTCATCAGGAAGGAGCGTTATGTTGTTGAGGTGTATTGGTAGAGGCTGGTCTAGTTTAGCTACAAAGATGAGGTGCATTGATATCACAAACTCTTCGAATGAGAGGCGACCATCTTTATCTGCATCGGCAAGTTTCCTAAAGTAGAAAAAGATTTAAAAATCACATCCAAATTTTGTTATATCTCATTGATATTTGTAACTGATCTCAGAGTTTTTCACAAAGCATGCTTCATGAGCTGACAAGCCTTAACAAGTACAGTCAAACCTGTCTAAAACGGTCACCTTGGGACATGCATTTAGTGGCTGTCTTATGCAGGTGGCCTTTTTATAGAGATGCCTTTAAATACAGTTTAAATTATTTTGCACACATTTACTGGCCATAGAAACTATATAACAAGACTTAAAGAACTTTTAGGTACCCCTAAAGACCTAAACTGAGTTGTATATAGTATTATTTCGAAGGTATTATTTGAGATAACAATTTTTAAAAAATTAATCATTATTAATGATGTAAAAATTAATTCAAAATGGGTGTGGTACAATAGGCGTGGCTATCTGGCCGCCTGTACACAGTGGTGGTCTTTATCAGTCTTGATGGAGATTAATTCTGTCAGTGACCGTTAACCATCTTACGGAGTGACCGCTGAGACAGGTAAGTTGAGTATTACAGTCATTGTCCAAAAAATTGGGACATTAAATAGTGACCGTTTTAAAGTAGCTGGCTGTTTTAAGCAGTGACCGTTTAGACAGGTTTGACTGTATTTCTAGAGCAACTTTAAAAATTCATAAAAAATGAAATTTTGATCGGAATGAGCTCAAACTTTCTACACAACATAAGTACATGTATATGTATCAGGAAAAATTATAAAATGGGGAATTTTTTAATTTTTCAATTTTGGCAAAATTTGGCCCATGACCCTGTACTATAGTATAGGGACTTTGACCCGATTTTTGAGTAACTTTAAAAATTTGTAAAAAATCAAATTTCAATCAGAATCAGCTCAAACTTTCTACGCAACATAAGAACATGTATATGTATCAGGAAAATTATAAAAATGAAAAATTCTCTACTTTTTGATTTTGGCAAATTTCGGCCTGAGACAGGGACTTTAGCCCAATTTTTGAGCATCTTTAAAAATTTGTAAAAAATTTAAAATCAAGTCAAAATCTCTAAGCAACATAAGTATTTTACTATACTCACCAAATGTGGAAGAGGTGAGCTTTTGACAATTGAGAATTGGTCAGCAAGTATCTTGCAGCCTCAGCTAAAAATGAAACATTAAAACATACACATCATACCTGCACTACACACACATATGTACATACAGCTATTTGCATAGACCTTGCAAACTGCCAAGTAGGTGGTAATGTGACCACACAATGCAAGACACGCCTCAATTTAGACAGTTTCCTTTGAAGTTCATAGAGTGGTTTATGAACTGGTTTGCAAGGTCTGTGCAATTTGCTGTATATATGCATGTACATGTACATTTATATGTTGAATATGATACAGCCACTGGTCAGTATTAAGTTGACACATTTTGCGTTTAAGTTGCGTTTGAGTTTAAAACATACTAGTTGTAAAATAACATTATCCATGCTCAAACGTTACCACAATCTCTGGAAAATGTGACTTGTGTATATTAAAACATAATGTGGTTGCTTATCTGTGTATTCTCACATTTTATTGCGTTCACCAAACTAGTTTACTCTAGTTCAGCGATCGTTCGTTTGTCAACTTATTGCTGACCAGTGTCATATATATTAGCCGGTGGTGGACTACTTAGTTATTGTAATCTCCTTATGGAAGGCACACACACACACACCCACTTTTGTATACATAAAGTTCATTAAAAAATCACAAAACCCATTAACAAAGCTTTTTTAAAGCTATAAAAATGACTATTTTAATCATATATTTTATATTAAATACACTAACCTGTAAGATATCCTTTATTATTGACGTTCTCACAAAACGACAGGAAAGCTGACTGACACTTTAACACTTGGTTATTCTTTGATGGTGAGATATAGCCATTTGGGTTGGTGACCTTTTGGATGAGGGACAGGAGGTCAGGCGGAAGAGAAGGAGGGAGGGGAGAACCGGCCAAACAGGTTTGAGTTAAGTGAAGCGCAACAGCAAATTCGGCAGCATCAAGCATTCCGTCTTCGTTAATATCTGATAATCTCCTGAGATAAAGATAAAGAGTGATGTTAAAATACAAGTTTATCATCATCATCATCATCATCATTACTATATTATTCTCTGTTATATCTACGTGTACATGTAGATGGAGTTCAGCCTGCTTAGAAGACTTTTGGTCTCCCATTTCTGGTCTAGATCTTATAAAATTTCTGGCATTCGATCGCTCATTTTTAACTAAATTGGTTTCCCAAAAATTAATTCTTAGATCCATGACACTGATTATTACTATAGTGACAAGCAAACAAAAACTCGCTCTCTCTCTCTCGCTCTTTCCAAAATAAAAAGTCCGGCAATAAAATAACAATAGGTCATTATAATATAACAAAAAAAGGAAGTTTATTTGACTTCAAGGTTGAAAGGGAAAGGGGTAACAAAGTTCATAAACAGCTTCTAAAAAACATACAACACACAAGTACATGTACATGTACATGTACATTATGCATATAGCTACAATGTATACAATATACATGTTTTTATGTTAATTGTTATGGATAAGCGAGTTATGTGCGTGTTACAAATATTTGAAATAATTTACTAATTAACAATTATTATTAGCCACCGGTGGTAATTGATGTACTAAGTGTAAGGAAAAAGGTCTCTTTCCACCTCTCTCCTCTCTCTCTTTCTCTCCCTCCCTCCCTTACTCCCTCCCTCCCTCACTCCCTCCCTGCCTCCCTCCCTCACTCCCTCCCTCCCTCTCTCTCCTTCCTCTCTCTCTCTCTTTCTCTCCCTCCCTCACTTTCTCTCTTTGTCCATTACTCCCTCCTTCCCTCCCTCTTTCTCCTCCTCTTTCTCTCTCTCTTTCTCTCCCCTTTCTCTTACCAGATGTTGCTCAAAACTTCCATTGATAGATTTGACAGCATAAAGAACTCTCTAGCTCTTGATCCTAAAATACAAACAACAGTCAACAACAACAACAACAACAACAACAACAACAACAACAAAAACAACAACAACAACAACAACAACAACAGTATACAAGCAAGAATACATGACTAAAGTAATATACAAATGACAAACAAAAAGAGATCAATAATAATAATACATTTAAATATTTCAGACACAATTCTATAAGTCTAGGGCAGTTCACATTCCTGTCTATACACACTCACAATTGTCACAATGGAACGGTTATTATAAGAAATGTAATATGATGACTGTAGGAGGAACTATTTACTCCAGTATTAATTAAATAAAGAAAAGATTGTGTAGTGCTATCGGTGTGTGACACATTCAAGTGAGGAATATCCCTTCAAGACTAAATCAACTAAACTGATAACATATTGACATATAAATAGTTGATGCTCAAACTTGCCAATATTTGTTTGTTGAAGAAAGTTCAAAAAATTCGAAATACCACACAGACATATATGATTACAAATATGTATACATTGAAATAGATGCAAGTTTTCTATAGATGCATAGATAGTTCATTAAGCCATAATATCCAATAGTAGCTTAGTAAGTTCATCATGATAGAACACAAACTGTCAATAGAAGAATTCATTCCAATGCAATGTTACACACTTAGCAATTTAGATACAGTTAATAATACTCAATTTCAGTATAATATAATAAATAACATTCTTTTCTAATTTAGTATTTCGACAGTTAGGCCAGGCTCTGAAAAAAACCAAATAAATAAAAATACATGTACCTTAACCTGTTATCTTTTCCCCTCTACACCTTAACCTCTCGTTTCCTCAATACTAAAATGCTACAAATGGTAATTTTAAATAATAAAACATAAACAAACCCACACATATGCCACTGCTATTACCATCATGTACATGTACATGATGGTAATATCATTACATAGTAATGAGCAAGTGGTGAATGATAGCTGCCCTAGTACACACCTAACAGCTAAGTCTAATTACCTGCAAATATGTAAAGTGTAATTTAATTGAGAAATGATATTTTAAGTCAAACAATGACCAGCCCTGATTCCCCGTGCTCACAGTCACACTTAGGCATACAAACAACTCCATATATATCTTAACACATTTTGCTTATAAACATGTACATGTGCAGAGAGAGAGAGAGAGGGAGGGAGAAAATAAAAGGAGCTATAGCTTTAGTGGCAAATGGAAGAGATATAAGAGGTACATATCATTAAAATTCACATATATACACATGTATCAGTAACAATTTAATCATCTCCTATGCTACACAAATAAGAATTCCCTTTCCTCTCTCCCTCTCTTTTCTCCTTATCACTGACACAAACCACTAGTCATCATCACTACACAGTTTAGACTAACTAAAAGTCTATCACTACTTTCCCTAACATACCAAGTGATAAACAGCAACTATTTTGATTACAAGGACAACAAAGGAGTGACTATAAATATAAAGAATTCAATATCAGCTTTCTTAAACAAATGATCATGGGAGCTGATGAATACATTGATTTATTAAACAATGGTCACGTGACAGGTCATGTGATTAGATAGTAGTAGTAGTACTTGGCATAATAATGAAGGGAGCATGCGTTCGAGTGTGTTGTGTCTGTTTATGCATTTGTTGTTGTTGGGTGGTTAGGGCTATGGAGGCATTATCAGATTTTGGGAGTCAAAACGAAGCGGTGACAATAAGCGATAAAAATAACAAATTAGCACTAAACAAAGATGGAATAAAGATAGATAGATAGATGAAGACGGTCGTTGCTTACCAGAGAGTAACTCTCCATCTGGTACCATTTCATGATAGTAGACAAAGTAATTCGAAAACTGCTTGTTCGACAGCAAAAAAGTTGATCCTTCCGAAGCCATGGGAGTTTCTTTGTCGTGGGGAGACTATGTCCTAAATAAAAGAGGGTGAAAATAACTAATTCATTAGAAATTGTACACAGAGAGAGGGGATATATGATACAAGAAGAAAACAAACACAGGTGTATTTTAGCAATTATTAATAACCCAGAAACAATAACAATGCATTATGCTCAAGCCATTATTGTCTTCTTGATTATTTTAATATGGAAACAGTGGGTGATATGACGTGCACAATAGCAATAGTAGGTCATTTGTAGGCCAACAAGGTTGAAACAACAAAAAGCTTATAGTACAGGAACTTGATCCTGGCAGCCAACGGTTTCACATTCATTCCCTCGAAATCACTCAATTCACACCGTCCGCGTGTTGTTCTTACCGCAAAGAATGAAAGCAAAGGAGACTGTAGCCTGCAGTACTCAGTCTTCAGGAGCCAGCCCTAAAGAGAAGAGAATAGAGACGATAAAGAGTATCTGCGCATGCTATAATAGGACGTGGTCGTGGCTAAGCTTTGACTATAATTAGCAGAAAATTAGGAGTGGGCGTTGGGTGCAGAGGTGGTGCGTAGGTGGAGAGGTGTGGCTGAACTTTTACAAGCTAAAATATGATATTCTATTCAGTTTTAGTATTTGTATATTTAAGTTATATAGATCCTGTTTGAACTGCAGTTCTCAGAACAGTGCAGCAGTTTATGTAGATACGAGTGACAAAGAAGTGACTGTAGTGGGGTCAAAAAATTGTATAAAATTAATAATAAAAGTAAGAGTAGTTTGCGGTTTTATTGCATTCTCCTCACGATTCTCCCCTTCTTTTCCCACAGCAGAACATGGTTCTCTTATCCTCCCTCCTCCTCCTCCATTCCCTCCTGTTATGCATCTCTGGTGCAAACTACGGGTATAGAGATGCTTCAGAGACCGTGACTCTAAGTGGCAACCGTATCAGGGGAGCAAGGAATAGGACTGATGTCGACATTGTCCTCGGCGGGCTGTTCCCCGTTCATTCGGTGGATGATGGCGGAGCAAGATGTGGCTCGATTAGACTAGAGAGAGGGCTGGAGAGGATGGAAGCCATGCTCTACGCTCTGGACATCATCAACAGCAACGCGAGTCTCCTACACGGTCTCAAACTAGGCTATGATATAAGAGATACCTGCAGCAGTGAAAACATTGGCCTTGATGAAAGCATTGATCTAGTTGTATCAGGTCAACAACTGGACCTTGAGAGTTGTCCGACATCAGATGATACCGAATATGAATCAGCTAACGATTCAAGTGAAGCTGCCCTCCCAACGTCCACTGTCATTGGAGCCGCCTCCAGTGGTGTCAGTGTACCAGTGGCCACTCTCCTACGTCTCTTTCGTATCCCTCAAATTAGCTACGCCTCCTCCTCTGCTCGTCTTGACAATCGTGACCGATATGGCTACTTCTATCGTACCATTAGCCCCGATAGTCTCCAAGCCGAAGCAATGATCGACCTATGTATGGAATTCAACTGGACGTACGTATCAACTGTATACACCAATGACTTTTACGGTGAGCCGGGAATAGATCAGTTTCGCAAAAGGGCAGGAGAAACTGGCATTTGCATTGACGTTGACGAAGGCATAAACTCTGATTCCGATGATGATGACTTCTCGAGGATTGCCAGCCTACTATTGGCATCCTCAACAAATGTTGTTGTATTATTTGCAAATCAGGGCAATGCAAGGTCACTGTTCTCATCCATAGAGGCCATAAACACAGCTAATGGAACAAATAAGAGGTTCCTATGGATTGCTAGTGACGCGTGGGCTCGGTCCATAAGCATCGTGAGTCTATTCAACGAGTCTTTGGCGGGACTGTTTGGCTTTGCGCCCTACACAGACGAAAGTCAAGGATTTCAAGATTACTATTCACAGTTGACTCTCGAAAGTAATCAAAGGAATCCTTTTTTCCCCGAATTCTATCAGAGCTACTTCAATTGCACCATTAACAAGACTTGCAACAATACGAAACCGGTAACTAGTCATCCACGCTATCAACAAGGTACCTTTATACCGCTAGTCATTGACGCTGTTTACAGTATAGCTTTTGCCATTCGTGACTACCTCAATGATAACTGTAAACAGCCGATCCAATGGAACAGAAGAACGTTATCTTGTGATGGAAATAGTGATAGGTTAAATGGCTCCGTTTTGCTCAGGTATTTGAACAATGTTTCTTTTATAAGTCCGACAGGTAGACATATAACCTTTAACCCTGAGACTGGTAATGCAGCTGGCGGACAATATCAAATAGTCAACTATCAGAGATTCCTCAATAAGTCGTATGGGTTCGTACCAGTTGGCATATGGAATGGTGATAATCCGAATAAAAGGCTTTCAATAAATCACTCAATAAGTCAGTTTGGATTAGAACTAATCAACGGTCAAGAGGTCCTCCTCTCACGCCCACGTCAGTCCCAGTGTACCGTATGCACAGCAGGGCAGTATATTGTTGAAGTGGAGGGATCTTGCTGTGGTACATGCAGCAACTGTACAGGTCAAGAGTACTCAAATACGTCGTCATCAAGTTCTTGTTCAACATGTCCTGATAGATATTGGGGTAATAACCCAATTATAGGTAGCACTAGTTGTGTAGCTTTAGAGGAGTCTTATTTACGCTACAGAGATGCTTGGTCCATTGTTTTAATGATAATGGCTATCATTGGTCTAATCTCTGTTGTGTTTGTTTCTGTTGCTCTGGGACTATACTGGAATACACCAATCGTCAAGTCGTCCGGACGTGAACAGATGATACTGCTACTTGTTGGAATAGCACTGACTTTCCTCACTACGTTTTTCTTTGTCTCAAAACCATCAACCTTTGTTTGCTTCTTCCAGCGGTCAAGCCTCTGGTTCTGCATATCTTTTATATTAGCCTCGCTGCTCGTTAAACTAATAAGGATCTCGAGGATTTTTCTAAGACAAGGAAGCGCTGCTTCGAGGCCTAAATTCACAGAACCTCGCTATCAAATACTCTTCACACTACTCATAGTATCAATACAATTTATCGTCGTGTTAATATCAATGATAGTCGTCTACCCATTGGCATCTGAGGAGCAGGTGGAGTCAAATATGGCCGGAGGCCCACCTATAATACAGGTAACGTGTGACTCTCCTCACTTAGCTCCATTGATAATATTAGCACTCTATCACACTGCGCTGATCATATTCTGTAACATACTCGCTGTTGTCACCATACGCTTCCCAGAGAATTTCAACGAGTCGAAATACGTTGCTTTCTCTACTTTCTCCATCGGTTTAATATGGCTGGCATTCACACAGACTTATATAGCCACCAGCAACGAGGATAGGACAGCTGTGGTCTCTTTTGCTCTTAACCTGAGCTGCTTTGCCGTCTTATTGTGCATGTTTGGGCCTCGGATCGTAATAATGATATTCTTTCCCGAAAGAAATGTTACCCAGTTCACTACGCAACCAAAAAGTCGTGGATCCACTGATATAAATGCTCAATTTGATACCGGATATATTACTACACTGGATCCCAGTCTAAGTGGTAGGTTGTGTAATAATAATTATTATTACAATATTTGTCTACCGTAAATGTACTTTTAATTGACTGTGTTAAATAATTTCATTGGATTTAGCAAGGAGCACCAAATCAAGCAGTGATATGTTAAAAACTAATGCAATATGTCCATGGGGCTCATTTAAATTAATACACTTGGGTAATTTCTTATTAAGGTCAGAGTTTATGTAATGCATTCCTTACTGATGATTTCTTTCTTGTTTGACACAATGGCTTGTTTGTTAGCAAGTGTTAACGTATTATTCTGTTCTCAATGTATTTATTATGATCATTCTTTCTTCTCTTTCCCTCCCTCCCTTCTCTCTCTCCCTCTCCCTCTCTCCCTCTCTCTCTCTCTCTCTCTCTCTCTCTCTCTCTCTCTCTCTCTCTCTCTCTTTCTCTCTCCCTCCCTCCCTCCCTCTCTCCCTCCCTCTCTCCCTCTCTCTCTTTCCCTAGTTCCTACTCCAAAAGGATCTCCAAGGCCTACTAGAGTCACTTTAAATTTATCAGACACGCAGCAAAAGAGTGGTAATGGGTCTTTTGATGATAACTCCACTAAACTATAAGTATTTACATTATTATTAGTAGTAGTATAATCATTGTGTTGTTGTTATTATTATTATTATTATTATTATGTATTTTGTTGTTGCTGTGATTAGTAAACAAACACTTGTTTCTTATTATTTCAAATGAACTCCCCATATTTACCCATTTATACTGTATCCATTACCATTATACTGTATGTTTGTCATTGTGAAGTTATTATTAAGATTATGATATCAACTATTATGTAATAGTTTGGTGATAATGATATAAGACACAGTAGCTATAATAGTACAAATTATATAGACTGACATTACAATGATCCAATGTACAGGAAATAATTTATTAAGAATTGAACTTAAAGTCTATTCACTTTCACCTGACCCCTGGCTTTTTTCAATTAATAAATAACTACGTCACATCCGCATTCTTTACGTATTTGTGGTTTTGAAATTGTTTTTGTTGCACGGAAGGGATGCAGATAAGTAGCAGCTGAATTTATTCTGGCTGTTCTAGCTGCATAATTGCGGTCAAAGGTATGTCATTGAGTTTATACAGGGACATCCAAAAAAGGCTAAGGCCTTATCATTTTGACCCGATCTTTTTATCTAAAGGACGGGAAGGACCTAGCAATTCTAATGGTGCAAGCAAAATTTCTAAATTCCATGTTTATCAAAAGTTATAACAAAAAATCAATAGGTCAGGTGAAACTGAATAGACTTTAGTTATTGGCATGCCAAATGCAGGCATCACAGGCCAAAATTATTGTAGTATGTTTTTAAAATTGTTAATAACTCTAGAATTTGTACACATAATCAGTTCAAACTTGCTACATGGCATAAGGACATCAATATGTATCAGAAAATGTAATAAAAATTTGGGGTCATTTTTTAGCCATTCTTGAAAAAAACCATGGGCTATATATAGCCTTGGGTATTTTTCAAAAATTGGCCCGTTTTTAAAATGCTCATAACTCGAAAAATATTTGTCGGAATCAACTCAAACTTTCTACATAGCATAAGGACATTGATATGTATCAGAAAATGTAATAAAAAATTGGGGTGATTTCAGAGCCATTTTTCGGAAAAAAAACATGGGCTATAGCCTTGGGTATTTTTCAAAAATTGGCCCGTTTTTAAAAATGCTCATAACTCAAAAAATATTTGTCGGAATCAACTCAAATTTTCTACATAGCATGAGGACATCAATATGTATCAGAAAATTTAATAAAAATTTGGGGTGATTTTGGAGCCATTTTTCAGAAAAAACCATGGGCTATATATAGCCTTGGGTATTTTTCAAAAATTGGCCCATTTTTAAAAATGCTCATAACTCGAAAAACATTTGTCGGAATCAACTCAAACTTTCTACATAGCATAAGGACATTGATATGTATCAGAAAATATAATAAAAATTTGGGGTGATTTCGGAGCCATTTTTTGGAAAAAAACCATGGGCTATAGCCTTGGGAATTTTCACAATTTTGGTGTTTTTTTTTTAAATGGCCGTAACTTTGAAAATATTTGTCAGAAACAACTCAAACTTTCTATGTAGCACAAGGACATTAATATACATCAGAAAATGTAATAAAAATTTGGGGTGATTTAGGAGCCACTTTTTGGAAAAAACCATGGGCTATATAGCCTTGGGTATTTTTCAAAAATTGACTCAATTGCTCACAACTTAAAGTTATTTGTCAGATTCAGCTCAAACTCTTTACACATCAATATGTATCACAAAATTGTTTTAGAGCAAATTGTTGATGGATTATTGATATCATAATCACACAGTAAACTTAGGTAACCACATACACACACACAGAGAAACCTACCAAAACAAAATATAAAAGGGGAAATACAGATAACAAAATTTTATTTAATTATGACTTTATTAGCTCATGATATCACTATATTTGGTATAGTGACTAAATATTATTGTCAACCATTCGTGATACATTTATCATAATGATGACACTGCTACCATAACCCATAACCTTCTCTTCAGCAACAGATGCTATCACTAGTAGTGCAGCCATTATTATGTCACACACAGCCATACTCCTAGTCTCTTATTAATCTAATTACAATTGTCTGCCAAATTTATGGCAATGTTTACTATTATTGCTGAATGAAGATAACATTTTAAGAGAGCATCCGAGCATGCCCTATACTACTAACAGGTCAATTAGTACATGTATGAAATTTGTAATGTCTTGTAGTGCATGCTACTTTTAGCTGTGGGAGCTGGATGATTATAGTCTCTCATCAAGAGCAAAGAGTAAAATGTGTTTACTGTTTTAGAGCAGCAAGGAAAAGGAAAAAGAGGCACTTACATTGTTTACAAATTATAAAATATTGTTTACAAATAATTATTGCTAATTTGATAATACAATGCCTATATATATATGCATGTACACATAAGCTCAAAAGCAATTAAAAATTTTAAGAGGATCATATAAAGTTACCTACTCCTGTTTTATGTGTTCAGTTATTTCCTGTTGGAGTAAGCCTAACAGTTGAAGATCTACAGTAAAAGAATGGAGCAGCCTTTCTTGACATCAAGAGTACTATTCTTGTCCATACTTCTTTCAATGAGTGATTGTGCTATCCAGTATGATCACACTAGCCCACCAGAGAGGGTCCTTTATTCCAGGACTAGTGATAGAATCACTGGATTCAAAGATACTCTGGATAAAGATGTCATTCTTGGTGGATTATTTCCAGTTCATGTGAGTCAATCAATGGGAGGTCAGTGCAGTGACAGGTTTAGATCCAGTGGGTTCCAGAGAATGGAGGCAATGCTCTTTGCCATTGATAGCATAAACTCTAACTCTAGCCTTCTCCCTGGCATGAGTCTTGGCTATGATATCAGAGACACCTGTGTGAGTGAGAACATAGCTCTAGATGAGAGCATTGATTTTGTACTTGAGAGTGATCAGTTAGAAGTGGAGAGTTGTGGAGGCATGTCAAATGGTAATGCTAGTGATAGAGTCAAAGTTAGTTCTGTCATTGGTGCTTCATCAAGCTCTGTCTCTATACCGGTAGCTAGCCTCCTTCGGCTATTTAGGGTGCCTCAAATTAGTTATGCTTCTTCTTCGTCAGCTCTCAATAATCGAGATCGCTATGAGTACTTTCTGCGTACGGTGCCACCGGATAATCAGCAAGCAATGGCCATGATTGATCTAATAGAGAGAGCAAATTGGAGCTTTGTCTCTACAATATACTCTGATAATCTTTATGGTGAGCCTGGGATTAACCAGTTTCATGAGCTGGCACACAGAAGAGGTATCTGCATTGACTTAAACCTACCAATAAAAGAATCATTTCTTGATTATGAATACCAATATGTTGCTGATCGGTTGGCCAACTCAACTGCGAATGTAACTGTGCTGTTTACTTCCTTTGAGCATGCTGATATGCTGCTACGGACAATGACTAACTCTAATAGGTCTATAAACAAGGCTGGAAAGGTTTGGATAGCAAGCGACTCCACAGCTTCCACAGTTTTAGCAGCAAATTATGCTCAAGTTGCAAGCGAACTATGGGGAGTGCTACCAGCAACTAACCTTCATGCTCCTTTCGATGATTATTACAGACAACTCAGCACATCAAGCAACAAAAGAAACCCATGGACTCAAGATGCATTCAAACAGCTATACAACTGTGCCCACAATGACTGCAATGTGTCTAGTGATTACAGTCAAAATGAGAAAGTTCCTCTTGTCATAGATGCTGTATACAGCATTGCTTATGCATTAAAAGAATTCATTAGTGATAAATGTAGTGCTCCGTTAGTTTGGTATGCCAACAATCAATCATGCCAGAGCCACAATGGCAGGACTGCAGTTTTGAATGGCTCTGTCCTACTACAACATTTAATGAATGTTAGCTTTACCAGCCCCACGGGAAATGAAGTTTCTTTTAATGAGAATGGGACAGTAAAAGCAATATATAACATTGCTGTATTGAAAGTGGAGCAAGAAACGAGTAGTTACGTGTTGGAAAATGTTGGATACTGGAATGAGAACTTGCCAATAGCAAACCGCCTTCATTTCTATGCTACGCAGAATGAAAATGAGCTATTTGATGATTTCACTTCACAATGTCAGAAATGCCCACCAGGACAATTTAAGAGGGCAGTAACGTCATCATGTTGTGGTACATGTGATCCTTGCCTTGGATCAAACTTTACTAATACTAACTCTTCAACAATGTGTATGACATGTCCTGATAATATGTGGGGCAACAATCCTCTCACTGGTAACACTCATTGTATAGATATTGATGAATCATATTTAAAACCATCAGATGCATGGGGTATAGTACTGATAATACTAGCCATCATTGGACTAATAGCTGTAGTATTTGTCACATCTGCTTTCATCTGGTTCTGGAATACACCAATTGTCAAGTCTTCAGGAAGGGAGCAGATGATATTAGTACTAATCGGAATAACACTATGCTTTGTAAGCACTCTTTTCTTTCTCTTGAAGCCTTCGCCAGCGTCATGTGGTCTTCAAAGAGATTGTAATGTGGTTTTCATATTCTCTGATACTCTGTGCATTGTGTGTTAAACTTATCAGAATAACTCGCATATTCATGCAACAATCAATATCTTCAAGGCCAAGATTCATAACTCCTCCGTACCAAATCATCTTCACTTTTCTACTCGTTGCATGTCAGATGATGCTTGTCTTTATTTCACTCCTGGTTGTTAATCCTGGAGTCAAAAAAGAGCTTCACCACAACAAAACAAACGATAATAACTTCCCCACTCTTATCCTCCAATGCACCACACCCCACATTGCACTTGTAGTGCTTCAGATGCTGTACAACACTGCACTCCTCATTACCAGCAATGCATTGGCTGTAGTTACCATAAGGTTTCCTGCAAATTTCAACGAGTCCAGATACGTTGCATTCTCAACATTTTCTCTTGGCCTCATGTGGTTTCTGTTTATCCTTTCATACGTAGCCACAAATGGGTCTACAATCCAAACAGCCGTTCTATCGTCTACAATACAACTCAGTGCACTCTCTGTTCTACTATGTCTTTTTGGTCCTAGAGTATTCATTATGATATTCTGGCCTTCGCACAACTCTTCTGAAAGTGGGATGAAACCTGCAGGTACAAAAGACTTGGAGTCTTTGCCTCAGCGAGTACCAAAGTCTCAAACAGGAGTGACTGTTGAATAACATGCACATGCATGGCTACAATGTGTGACTATCATTATTATTGTTGTTGTTTTTGTGAGCAATTCTTTAGCTTAAATATTTACTTTTATTGTACAATGTATCGGTATTGATTAAATTTCAGTTTCATTGTTTAATATTGTTATTTATTATTGAATTAGCTAAACAGAGATTCAATCATTTATGACTCTAATGATGATGTATGCAGAAACCTATCACTACTAATAAATGGGTAAACAAAACCATCACACACATGCACACTAATATTTAAAAAAAAACCAAAAATAATAATGTTATTCTTCAGTGTCATTATTCTTTTTATTGCTTGCAATTTTGTTATCATCTGATGGCATAATAGAAGTGCGGTTTTGTGTTCCAAGTGGCATGATTTTTGATACAACAGATGAGTGTCTTTCAGCATTCCTATGGGGCCATACTATCATAATAAACACTCTTGGACCAAAAAGACTGAGGAGAACTGCCACTGAACTCACTTGTATTGCAGTTGATAGGGCAGCTCCTTGATAGGGAGTGTTCTGACTTACAATGAAAGCAAGTATGAAGAAGAACCAGGTCAGAACAAGGGAGAAGGTCGCGAATGCAACATATTTCGCTTCATTGAAGTTTATCGGAAACCTTATGGTCATGACAGCAAGAGCATTGCTAGCAATGAGAAGGCCAGAGAAATAAATCATTTGTAAGACAATAAAGGCAACATGGGGCGAACTGCAGGTAACAATCAGCTCTGGATGAGAATTATGATTTACTTCGTTATACTGTATAGTTCGATTGGCTTCAGGAGGAGCTACTATCAATGAAACTACGACTATTAACACTGGAAAACACATTAGGATTAGTGTGAATCCAATCTGATACG